CACAAACCTCGTCACATTACACTTGTTTCCGCACTTAATTGGGCTAAATTCTAGCTCTAAAAATTGAAAATTGTCGTCCCCGCATGCCGCTGCCTCTACTCAGTGGACGAACGGGTGGGCGAGTGATGCCCTCCCTGCTATGTGGACCAGGGGTCACTAGGGCGGATCTCAGAGGTAGCTCTATGATGTCCGCTTCCGTTCTCTAACATGGAGGGTCGCTCTGCTTTCGAAGAGTTCAAAATTGATTATCCGCGTTACGATGAAGCTGAGGAAATATTAAAACATAGTAAATAAATAGCCCCCCCCCCTCCCCTCCACTCTTGGCAAACGGGGCGCCTTCGTCTGCTCTTTCGTGCCATTTAATTAGATCGAAGTGCATTCCCCATTATTTTGATTGATTCATTGCCCAGTCGTGGCCGTTTAAGCATCGTCAAATGAGAGACGTTTACGCGGCACCGTTCGCTCACTCGAATTCTGAAGTGCATGGCTAAGCCACGGAAATCGCATTTAAAAGCGGCGGCTATTTTTGTAAACGAAGCACTTAGGCTTGATCCCAGGACAGGTCGGCGCTTTAATAGCGTGCATTGTTCAGACAGTCACTCGTTCGCGTTCGTATCTGAAACAGCGGCAATAACGCTGGGCGGCGCGACAGTTCTAAGCACGCCACCATGTCACACTCACTCAGAATTCCTACACTTTGCCCGGACAGACGGATCAGTGGGAGCTTTGCCTATAAGTGGCACGTGGCGCGCAACGCTTCCCTCGCGTGCATTCAAGAGCCGTGACCTCTGCCCCGAGACCCGACAGCGCCCCATCCCCACCCCAGACCTCTGTGCGCTGTTATGTAAATGAGGAGTGGGGTGGTTAGGGACACTGCGCTCCGAGCCCCACCACCCGAGTTCAATGTCTGTCTAGCACGACGAGTGATATCTCAACCGGTCATTGGTACCTCGGACTTCACCAACCTGCAATGACCGGCGTGGTGAGATATGATCAAATAATTCGCAATGACCGATTGTTGTGTGGAAAGGTCTTCATCCAGCACCGACTGGACACAGGGCTGTGTGCTGTTGTTGTTATAGTCTGCCATGCTCGTACTCTATATAATTGTATTGCGACAATCAGACCTTCCATATTCGTTTTTCTTGTTTAATAAGAGGTCCATATCCAAGTCTCGCATGAAAAAAACATTATCGTCTCTTGTCAACACAATCAACCACACCGCACCCCAACCACCACCGCACCCCAACCACCACCGCACCCCAACCACCACCACCACCACCGCCACCACCACCCAAACGTGAGCATTAAACACTGAACGTTATTCTAAAAACAATACAGATCGGTCCCGGGCGATCGACGGCACAGATTGCAGGGCAGTTTGCTTTTGTTTAATGTGTAAAATACCCGCAATAGGCCAGCAATCAGGGGGGCGGGGGGCGGGGGGGCTCCACGTGGCACTAAACCCGCTACGTTCCCAGTCGTGTTTGCGCTGCCAAACCACGAACCACGTGACTTTCAAACGACTTGGGCGTTCATCTCTTCTCATGTCGTCGTCTTCCCCCCTCACCACCACCACCTCCGCACAGGTAGCCGTCGTGCAGGTCTCGGTCCGCTGCGCTGGCACGACAGTGGATGGAATAGAACAATGCCAGGCGGAGTTTTGTGTCCGCGTGCTGTTGCCTTTGTTGTCCCTGGCAGTCGAATGTGTAGCAGGGTAAACGATTGCGCGCCAATATCTCCCCTTTTCGCTGATTCTGCGATGGTTGTTTTGTGTGTGTGTGTTTTTTTTGTTAGGGGTTCGGCTGGAAGGAGCCAATTTCGCGGAGCGTGATGAACGGTGGCAATTCTTATCAGCCGACGGTTACAACATCTTGGTAAATTGCCCTACCCCCTCCCCACCTCCGTCGTTTCAGAGAACAATTGCTCAAAGCCCGTGAAGAATGATCGCGGCGCCGCGCGTTCTAGCGGCGACTTGCTGCTGGACCGAGAGACAGAAACGGGAACGCGCGGATGAGAGAACACACGCATGGCAAAGACACCACTCAAATAATGATGAAATAAAAGTGAGTGGACCTGAGCAGCGCACGTTGGAGCTACGACGGACGATGGCCGACGGTCAAGAATAATGACAGCCAGGAGATGGAACGCGTCCAAAGGGCCCCCTCGACCGCGGAGATGGAGCGATGTAAATGTGCTCGCGTGCTTGTGTTCGGCGGACGAATTCGTCGCAGGATCGCGAGAGGTGTTGACGTCTTGGAGAGAGGCCTTCATCCAGCAGTGGATGGACCACGCCTGTTGGTGATGATGATCAATTTCGATTTAAAGCTTTCGTGACTGCAGGGATTCATCTTCTTGGTTCTTTCGGTAAAGTCACGTAGAATGGAAATAATAAAATAATAAAAATAAAACATAATAAAATACTTCTAACGACGTTTCGACCACAACGCAAGCAGCCGTCCTCAGGTGAAGAGCAGGTCTGTCAGACTCTGTCGTCTCGACAGACTTGTTCTTCACCTGAGGAAGGCTGCTTGCGTTGTGGCCGAAACGTCGTGAGAATTATTTTATTATGTAATTTTTTTATTATTTTATTATTTCCCTTCTACGTGACTTTACCGAAAGAACCAAGAAGATGATGATCAAGTTGAAAGCCAAGTGCACCAAGCTGTCAGATGGCCTCGTCACGGGTGCAACTCGGTGCGCTGAATCCGGTAGAGCCTTGCTCTGGCTCCCACGTGGCTGCGGTGGTGCGTTGCCTGGGCGCAACGTCAACTAATGGGCGGATCGATGGCCACAAGAAGCCTGGCTGCGCTACGCAAGAGGGCCCCGCGGACTTGGAATCGGAGCCAGCGGCTCGCCCCCCTCCTTAATGAGCCGCGCGCCGCAATACAGACGGTGGCGGTGGGGGCTGGCGTGGGTCCGACTGCCCGAGCATGTGGAAACGCGGTGTTGTACCGCGGCTGTGTTGGCACGATAAAGAAGCTCCCGGCGACGTGCAGCGAAACGTCGGGCATCGCGGCGAACGACGCCCGCGGTACGAGCCGAGAGGACATCGGAGAGTTTGGGCAGAACAAGCGCGACAACTCACGCCAGCGACCAGTTTCATTTTCACGGAAATCCCTCCGGGCTGTCGGAGTTGCTCTGCTCCAGGCGCCGTCGCTGGCTCGCAGCGTCGTTCATCGATGGGTTTCGATCGCCCGCAGTCCCAAAGCCGGGTCCTCCTCCTCATCCCACCTCCTCCTCCCTCCTTCTCCCTTCTAACTCCTCCTCCCTCCTCCTTCTTCCCCCTCCTCCCTTCTCCCTCCCTTCTCCTCCTCCCTCCTCTTCCCGCCTCCTCCTCCTCCCTCCTCCTCCCCCTCCTCCCTCCTCCTCCCTCCTCCTCCTCCCCCTCCTCCTCCTCCCTCGTCTCTCCTCCTCCCTCCTCCTTCCTCCTCCTCCTCCCGCCTCCTCCTCCCAACCAAACGCCCTCGAGGCCATCGCGCAACATAGCCGCCTGCAGCTGATTTGTCCACAGTCTGAGCGAGTGGACGTGTGAATTTAATAAAAAAATAAACCAGCGATCGCAACAACCAATTCACAGTTGGAAATTGTGCGCCGTATAATAAAACACGTGGCGACGAATCGCCAAGCAGATCGGTGCTTACAAGTGTCAGTCTCCACTGTAAGCAATCGGTTGCGCAACTGCTCGCAACTGGTTGCAGAAACGTCCTCGTATGTGTGTGATTTTTTTTATCCGAGTCCGATTCTGTCGCATGCAACTTGTTGCTTAATTAAACGAACACAACAGTTGACGCAACTCCTCTGACGATGCATGTCATTAACGAGTTGTTGCTTGACAGTGCCCCTGCTGCTTCCGGCAAGAGGAGGGGGTCTCTTCGCGACTCCTCACGGCTACCGATTTCCAATTCTCACCCGCGCCTGTTCGCCCCGCACAATAATTCAATTTTAATTAAAAAAAAGTAATTCACTTTCTTTTGAGGCTTCAAAAAAAAAACACACACACACACGCAAAGTCGCTTTCCAATTAATAGCGCCAATTAGATATCCGCGCGCAGAGAGGACGGCACGGGCATGGCGTCTCTCAATGCTGGCGCGAGATAATGACGAGCGCGCCTGTTAATTACACGCGACTAATTGGTGTCGTCTAATTACACGGCTAACTACTGCCAGCCCTGATGTTGCTCAGATTAATGAGCTGAGAGAACCAAAAGCAAAAACACGATTAATCTTGAAAGAAGGTGATGGCTCTTGGATGGGAGACGTGAAAAAACGGATCCAACTTTAATATTTCCTTCCAATGTTTTTCAAATTTGTGCGTTTGTTTTCCAACGGTCTGGGGGCTGGAGGGGGGGTGGCAGGTTGCTCTGTGGGCCCCTTCCACATGGGAAGGAGGGTGGTGGACACCCCCGGCCGGTGGGGGGGGGGGGGGGAATGGCACGACCACCGAAGGGCGATTGGTCCCCGCGATCCCAATCGATCTCTGGCAATCATCGCGCGGCTGCTCTGTCCACATGTGAGCGGGGCAGAACCTCTATTCTTGACACAGTGTTTTGCCCAACAAGGAAATCGGACGGCGCTTTCCGGGATAGGCGGTGACCGATCACAGCTCCCGCCAATAAGAAGCCCGCAATGGAATGCGTCCCTACGAGTCGAGCGAACAGAGTCCGAAATCCGCGGTGAGCAAGCGGTTGCGCAACTGCTTGCGGGGGACGTCCACGTGCAATCGATTTCAGTTGCGTGCGACCGAGGTTGAGTGCAACTGATTTCCCAGGTGTGCAACCGCGGGTTCCGGGACCAGCGTTGCTTTTGGAGCAGCTGGTGCCCCAGGGAGCGGAGAGTCGTGCCTGCCTCGCTTGCCCTCTCACGTGGCACGGCGCCGAGCGGCTCGGCTGCCCTTCCGATCGCAGTCGCGTGAGCCAGTGTTGCCAACTAGCGACGAGAAGTCGGACTTGTTCGACGAATGAAAAAAAAATTGTCAGCGAACGATCGACGAATTGTTAGCCGCACGCGGAGTCGGCTCTGAAATCGGCCTCATGGGTCGGTCTCAGAAAGGCGTTCGGGCATGTCGCTGGCAACATGTTGCCTCTCGGGAAACCGATAAAATCGTTCGATCTGGTGACGAACTCGCAGAGTTTTCAACACTGGCGACAGTGGCTCATGCGTGTGCTATGTATATATGTATAATAGGTGCTCGCTAATAGCACCTTAGCCCAACAGTTAAAGGCTATACAAGGGGATCGTTGTCTTTGTGTGTGTGTGTGTGCGTGTTACGCGTGGCACCGGTGGTAATAATGACGGAGAGAAGTATTTACATCGAGTTTACTTCACTTTGTACACCAAGGAAGTTACCACCATCGCTCCAAAAGAACCAACATTCAAGCACTGACCGCAACACGCGAACTGATTAATCCACTTTTAAAAAGCACCATATGTACACCTGGCCCCGTGTTGACATAATGTACACAACAGTGGGTCCACATCTCTTTACCGAAACACAATAGGGTCAATTTAATGACTCGCACATTCTACCTTCGCGGGGAGTAGAATACAAAACGAAATCGCAGCCGCTCCTTCCCTTCCCCTTGGCAGTTGATAAATATATAGCACTTGAGTAAACTGCAAGATTGAAAATATAAATTAAGTAGTCGATCAACTCATCCCATTTAGCGATGCTCGTAGCGAGGCTGCAAAGCAAGTAGCGGACTGCCTCCGGGAATCACACAAATAGAACGGTAAGGGGCATCAGACTGTCCCAAGCTCCCTCCTCCCTGAGCCCCATCCACCAGGCTTGCAAGGAGGAGTCGCTTGCGGACGACGAGCGTGACATCGGAATGACTCCACACACACAAAAAAAACATCGACCGTTAGTTACAACCGCTGTGTTTATATGCAGGCCGTTGTACATTGCCAAAATTTTGCATTTTTTTTTAAATCACCATCGTCATTATCATTATCATCGTCGTCGTCGTTATCATTTTATTTGCATTCTCTTGTCGAGGAAACTGCTGGGGCCGGTGTGCTGCCCGGCCAAGCGCAAAGCCGCCCTCTTTGCTCGCTGGTGCTCCAAAAGACTCGGGCTCGCTCTGCGCGGCTCCGCGTATTGCACAGAAGAAGAAGAATAAGAAGAAGGCGCTGGCCCGGAAACTCGGGGGGGGGGGGGGGGCTTTGGGGAGTGGAGCGCCAGCACAAGCTATGGGAACCACCTCCACCTCGAGTCGCTCGCTCGCTCGTCACTCTTGCATACCGTCGTGCCCACGGACAAATCATACATCTGCTACTCTGTAAACGGGTTTATTCGCGTGTCGCCGCCTATACCCACTCCCCGACGCGCCGAGGTTGATGCGATGGCCGGAACGGGGCGCGTTGACGCTGGGGGGTGGGTGGGGGGGGCAATGACGACTCATGGCCAGACACGCGCACGCTCTCCTGGGGTAAAGGCGCTTCGTAGATGGTGCATGCTTTCAAAAATCTGAGCGAGCCACTGAAGCCTTAAATACTGTTACAATATATTTCATCTTTTTTGTTTAACTTTATTTAAATCTCTGGTTACATTTGCTGTCGCATTGTCCTTCCTGTGCTCTTGTTATCTCCGCTGACGTATTCCCAAAAGCGGGGGGGGGGGGGGGTTTGTCCGTCACTCGCCGCTCTCGTTTGTTTGCGAGCGCCGCTGCCCTGCGCTCATACAGTGCTCTCGAGGATCCAGTCGGAGCTGCTGAAGATGGCTTTGCGTCCGGACAACTTCCCGTCCTCAACGCTGGGCACCATCCCGTTGACGGACATGCTTCGCTTGGTCCACATGCCGCCCGCCCGCCGGGGCTGCCCAGCGCCGCTCAGCCCGAGCGAGGAGACTCCGTGGGGGAAGCTGCCGCCGTCGAACGACAGGCTGCGCGTCGCCCTGCGCCCGTCCCCACGCGGCCACACCGCACGCGTCGTCGATCCGTCCGCCGGAGAAACGTCCACCGAGCGCTGCGGCATCGACGTTACGGACCTCCGGTGCGCTGCGAGCCGTCGCGGCAGCGTTGCGCGTTCCGCCGTAGCCGCAGCAGCAGCAGCCGCAACAGCCGGCGACTCGGCCTCCAGATCGGCGCCGAGTCGCGCGGTACGCGGCGCGCGTGGCAGCGTGGCCGGCTTCACGTCGCACGCTGGGTCGGGCGGTTTTGCGAGCTTCAGCTGGTTCAGCTCACGCACCACGTCGCCGTAGCTGGCCTGCACCGGCAGTCCCGCGGGGGCCGCCGCTGCGCCGTTGTTGCCGTTGCTGTTGCTGCTGTTGCTGTTGGGGTGGCACGCGGCCACGGCGGTGGCGGCGGAGTAGCCGTCGGCCGCGCCGGCAGGGACCGAGGTGCCGACGGCAGCGGTCGCCCCGGCGCCGTTCGCCCGGCTCGACGTCTTGGTGGTGCCGTCGTTGGCGGCGCAGGCTTTGTAGCCGATGACGAGGATGACGGTGAAGACGAGCAGGCAGGCCACGATGATGCCTCCGATGATGATGATCATGGTGCCTCCGAGCAGCTGGCCCGGCATGATGGCGCCGCCGTTGGCCATGGAGGAGGCGATGGAGGAGGAGCAGAGCTGGGAGTCGCCGTCGCCGGTATCCTCCGTCACGAAGTCGACGCAGCCCAGCGGGCGCGTGGCGGCCACCGAGGGCACGATGGTGCCGTCGTAGTAGATGGCGAGCACGCACACCTGGTACCCGACGCCCGGCAGCAGCCCCGTGATGAGGCACGAGCTGCTGCCCGGAGACATCATCCTGCAGGGTCGGGGGTCACGCACGCACGTGTACACACACACGCGCACACACACACATGCACACACACACACGTGCACACATACACGTGCACACACACATACACGTGAACACACACGCACGTGAGATGGCCGCCGTCATCAATACCGTAGTCGTTGCTGTTTTAATGGCAGGGGCGCTCCCACAGCGGTGTCACGCTTTGAGCATTGTAGTTGCAATCCAGAGGTCGCCGATTCTCCTCTTTCCACCCATAACAATAGCGGGGTATGTTCACAGTCAGTCGATTGCCAGGTCGTGTGGAGCGGGGTGAAGTGTGTGGCTTACTCCCACGTCTTCCAACACGTCTATACAGCGTGCAAGAGGCGACACATTTTTTCCTTTCAGGGCTCTCTATAGGTCCCTCTAACGGAGCCTCTTCCTCCAGCAGTGGCGTGAGCGAGCATTCGCAGGTCTGCGCCTTTGCCCTAACTTTATAGAACGACGGCGATAAGACGACACGCTCGCAATGTCGACGCCAGAACCGCTGGGCATTGTCATCGCGCACACGCATACACAATGTGTCCCTGCTGGGAAGATAAGTGCAGGGTGGGAAATACTGGGTCCGGAAACACCATTACGTTTAAACATCGCAGCGGCACGGCTGCCGGGAGCGCAGGGTGTGTGTGTTTGGGGGGGGGGGGGGGTACAGGTTTGGCAAATCTTGACATTAATCTAAATGAGAAGCTGATGGAGGCCGAGGCGTGATTGACGGGTGAGTCACGGGCCGCGCGCGCGCGCTTCGTCGCGCCGTGAAAGAGAGAGGCGCGCGCGCGTGCATGGATCGCGCGCCGCAATTTGTGTTGTTACTTAGAGGAGAGCGGTAAAGCCGCACGTTTGTGCATCGCCGCCGCTGCGGCGGTGACGGTCATCAGGTTTGCGTTTCGGAGCGGACTCATTACCCCCCGCGCCGCGGAGAAATAGCCGCGGATCGCTGCCGCGTGAGCGATGACGGTGGCGAGGAGGGCTCCCTCGCTGACGGCTCCGCGGGGGCAGGAAAATGGGGGGGGTGAAATTGCCGCAGTAGTCACAATTTTTCGGAAATTCATTATCGCGCGGGCGCGTTCATTTCCGAGCGAACGTGCTCAGGGCGACCGGAGCAGATCGTCAGAATGGCTTTCTCTGATTTGGCTCGAGGCTTCTCGAGACGCTGCTTCCCTCCGCCGCCACCCCTCCCCTCCCCTCCCCATCATTTGCGTGGTGTCATGTGTGACGGCGCCAGTAAGTCATGTATTTATTTTATCTGCTGTTAACCGAGAAAAAAAGTAAAAAAAAAAATCCAAACCAAAACAACAACAAAAAGCCGCCATAAGATTATCACTTTCATGCTTTTTTTTGCTGTTTGCAGCATAAACAGCGCGACGTCCTCGCCACGGGGAGCGGATTGCTGCAACAAAACGAGCGCGTGAGAGTTGCAGTCGCCGCTCTCCGTTGCAGAACGTGGCCGCGTAAGCAAGGCCTCGTCGCTCGCTCTTCTCATCGGCTGGTGTCAGCGAAATCGCAATAAACAAATACTGCCCCTTCTCAAATATTTAAGAGTCTTTTACTTCTCCTCGTAATGCCATCGGCAAGCGGAATTCTGCTGCCGCGGCTGTTTGTCAGGCTCGCGAGAGCGAAGTGCTGCGCATCATGAATTCCAGTGAAGCGTCCCACGCAGATGATGATGATGAAGTCACAACCACCCTGTACACCGCAACGTTGTTTGCAGAATCACTTGCGCTTAACTTTAAAAGTTGGAAAATTTGGACCGTGAAGCTGGCACACAACGGCCTGCTCCCTTTCAATGGGTTGTTTTGGTTGTTGTTGTTGTTTTAACGTTGACACTGCGAATAAGACGGCGCAGTATTAACCACGGCGACCGACACGGCTCGATCGCGAGACTGACGGGCGACAACCTCGACACGTCTCGGCCACGTTTCTCTCACCACGGGGGCAATGTGAAACCTAATTATCTGTAAACCATTTTCTTGAGTAGGCCTGACTAACATTTTTTGTTAACGCGACTAAAATAACAAAAACGCAAATGAGATTGCATGTAATAAACTTTGACACTTTACGAGAGCCACCGTACAGATAATAGGAAAATAATAATGATTACCATCACTCAAACACCAACATTACGTTCTCGTGTCGTAAACCCTGACACCAATGCACTTATTCCATTAGCACGTAACTACACACTTCGCAATACGCTTAACGTCAGATTGAGGTGAATAGATGGGTCCCTGGTTTGGCAAACCAATGAACCCGGCGACCCGAGCTCTATTCCCAGGCACGGCTAACATCAGTGGCGAGTGGTATGCGAATCTGTGTCTGGCGCGAACCATCCGCCAATACTCACCTCACGTGACCGTGTGCTCCCGTTTCTCTAAATCATATTCTATCATCTACGTCTCTTCTCGAGTCCCTCACCCGTTCCTTTCCCTGTTCCCACACCTGACATCATCCCACACCTGACATCATCCCACACCTTACATCATCCCAAACCTTACATCATCCCAAATCTTACATCATCCCACACCTTACATAACACTGGTCAACAAAAAAAAAATTCTGGCCTGGAAAAAATTTAGGGTGCTGATTCCAAATCTGATCTCAGATTTGCTCTATCACATCTCATTTTTATGCTATCGGCATACCCCATTTTCATTGATTTTACCAGAAATTAACTCTGTCACTTATGATTGCAAGTTGTTGCGAGTCAGTGACTGCTTTAGTGTTAAAATATGGTGCTGCAGTTTTAGGATAGTGTGTTTATAATATCATTTTATGTAGATATCCACATTTATTTAATATTTTTCTCCTGCAGTTTTTATTGAAAATCCAATATTTGATATCTCAAAAACCTGATGTGATACACATAAACTGATGCCAGATTTGGAATCAGCACCTCAAAATTACCTTAAAACCGTTGAAAACTTTATGCCAGAAAAAGTGTGTTGACCAGTGTTATCGATTCTACTCCCCCTTCCTGTGGTGGTGCCACGGGTCCGAAGTTCATCGTCATTTTAGTTTCTCAATGTTCCACGACAATAAATAATACGATTGCATTATATTGATATATGGCTATGGCAGTTTGACTGCTCTGATCTCGAAACCTCTCTGAAGGTCCTGTGTATTTATACATCGTATAGGGTATAATGCAGTATAACGCATCCCGATAACAACCGGTGGATGTCAAATTGCGTAACGCCACGCAGACGCCTCCTCTTGCATCGGACGGGTCCTGGCTTGAAGGAGCAAGCAGAACGCATCGAGAAACCTGACATTTTTTGATTTAATGCTTTCGTGACTGCAGGGATTCATCTTCTTGGTTCTTTCGGTAAAGTCACGTAGAAGGGAAATAATAAAATAATAAAAATAAAACACAATAAAATACAATTCTCACGACGTTTTGGCCACAACGCAAGCAGCCGTCCTCAGGTGAAGAACAGGGCTGTCGGAAAGACAGCGTCTGAATGAACATCACAAAGCTTGGCTTGGTGTTCATTGGTGTTCACCTGAGGACGGCTGCTTGCGTTGTGGCCGAAAGGTCGTAAGAATTGTATTTTATAATGTTTTATTTTTATTAATTTATTATTGCCCTTCTACGTGACTTTACCGAAAGAACCAAGAAGATGAATCTGCCATTGTGAACGCAATACACGTGGCATCGTTGGCTCTCGGGAATTCGACCGCAGCTCTCGATGCGAGGCGGTAATGAGAACGCCCTTACCCAGAAAATTCTCATCGAGTCTCGAGACTCATCCTCAGGAGGGTCCTGCCAAGTTGAGGCGATGTTGCTGCTGTGTGCAATCCCAATTGAGTCATTTGCAGGTAATTGTTCAGCGTTGGGATGTTTTGGCCAATGCCGGTGATATTGTGCGGGGGTTTTATGTTCGCTATGGGAGGAAAATGAAGAAGCCGGAGAAAACCCGTGCAGAAAGGTAGCGAACATACATTCCCCATACAAAGCGGCCCGCTTCGGGAATCGAACCCAGGTACATCTTGCTGTGAGGCACACATATTACGATTGGACCACCCTGCCGCGCAACAGCATATAATGAGAAAACTCCCTGCACAGCTCGGTTCAATAATCCTTGGCTATACTGCCATCTCCAGAACATTTCGCGAGTTGATGCCCACAGCGCTCGGGATCTCAACCTAAGCACGAGCCAGTCTCAGCTTCCGAGATATGACAACCAGAGGCGATGCGGTCGTGGGCTGTTGCACAGCGCTAGCGCTCAGTGATAGTGGTGGGGATAAGTGAGGCGGGGATGGAGGTGGAAATGTGAGCAGCGCAACCCATCGAAGGCATCACGACTCTCAGGTAGAAGAGGAGGGCCTTCATCCTGGACTTAAGAAAAGGAAAGGACGTCACCAATGCAGATGGACAGGAGGGTGGGGTGGTGGGGGGGGGGCAACTCTAGATGGCAGGGTCATCGACAAGTATTGAGTTCTCGGGGGTTAGTGATATGACCACGGGCTCTGTCAACAGGGCCGTGGTTTGCTGGAGGAGAAGGCAACGGTTCAGAGCGATGACAGAGAGAGGGGAGAAGAAAAGCGGAGGCATCTCTCTTCTCTCTCTCCGGGGTAGATCTTTTGCAATTTTCTGGAGGGCACGGGGCAGCCAATTGCGAGCGAGCGCGCATTATTCATGTCGAGTAACCTGGTGGGGGGGTGGGGGGGGGGGGTTAGGCGGAGCGGGGGAAAGAAGTAAAATTAGCCTCCTGCGTTAAAAGGGATTTGCTGAGCTTTGCATAAATTACAGCACTGGAAGACGCGCAGTCACACCACTGAGAATTCAATTCAGCATTGAAAGTGAAAAAACGAAAAAATCCGTTAATCGCAGCGGCTTTACCCGAGCTCCCTCTCGGTGGGATCCGACTGCCGGCTTGAGGAGCAACGCCAGAATCTTCTCTGCTGGAAGTCACTTTTGCTGTGCCAAAGGCTCCCTCATTTCTGAATAATTATGGCCGCCGCTGTAC